CAGATTTAGGAAGAACAAAAGTCAATAGGCTACTATCTGGTGAAGACGCTGAGACAATTCAATCATCTTTTTCTGCGTTGGACGATTACTGAGCAAATATGGAGGATTTTCATTAATCTGACAATGTGGGTAATGCCTAGGGATATAATTGATGTTCTAAGATATTGGAGCAAATATAGTACCTTCCCCCGCCAGAAAGAGAGACGGAAGATTGTCCCAATTTGTATTTGGTGGACACTTTGGTAAAAGAGAAACTAAAGATGTTTTGAAGACAGAAGAAGCTCCATCTAGAAACTAAAAACGTAATGTTTAGTCCTTTTCCATTTTTGGTGTAAACAAGAGTATTTGGAAGATCCAGAATCCATTGTTGAAGACTTAGGGGCCTTGTAGTAGAATAGAAATTATCAGATGTTGATGTAAAAATTCATTGTTGATGTATTTTATTTCCTGGATTTACTAGGAGGGCTGAAGGAGATGGCTGTTTCTGGGGTGCTCTTTGTAACATTTTGTACCACATTTGGTGCCTCATTAATAAAACTTTTACCTTATCACAAAAAGAAATTATCAGATCTTCCTATATTTGTTTTGTAAATATGGGTGACCTTACTCCCTTTGGTACAGTCAATATAAAACAACAATAATAACAACAACGACGACGACCAAGTAAAATGGGGTCTGGGGAGAGTAGTGTGCACGCAGACCTTGAGAGGTTGTTTCCGATAGACACTTGACTCAAGAAGACGAAAAGAGGCAATATATTAGTACCAACAATAAAAATCATAGAAAAAAATAACACCATTACCAAAACCAAAAAATAGATGAAAAGAAAAACAATAACCAATAGATAAAGCCCGGCACTAGGAGGACCTTTGGTAAAGTCAATATATACATAAAAAATGTTACCTTCTCACAGTGTTTTGAATAGCGAGAGGCGACAAAAAGCGACGAGTGCCCGCTTCACTGAGGCGAGAAGCGAAGCGCTCGCATTTTTGCATTGAAGCGCCAATTAATACAAAAAAATTAAAATTTTAATTTTGCATATATAAATAACCAAAAACTCAATAATAATAATAGATTAGCAAATATTTCATTGAATATACTGTTTAAGAGAGAAATTAATTGTAATCAAAGAGAGAAAAGAACAATTAATTGTAATTATAATTATAGAGAGAAGTTAATATGCAATTACTTGTATACAAAAACTGAAAAAATAGAATAAAAGAGAAACAGAAGAAGAAAGACGAGTAGAAAAGAGAGAAAACATAGGTGAAAGAAAAGAAAGAAAGAATTGTTACGCCGGAAATCAGTTGCTACTGCAAAGAAGAACAAAGAAGAATTACTGTCGGAAGAAAAAAAATAAGAAAGAAGAAGAAAGAAGAGAGGACTTGCTGCCGGAAAACAGAGGACTTACTGACGGAAAAAGAAAAAGAAAGAAGAAGAGAAATCAGTACCTGAAACTCGAAGAAGAGGTGCGCCTGTGCTGACTGCTGAAAGAGGAAGAAGTGGTTTGAAGAGAAGAAAACCCTAATGTTTTATTTAAGTCACTTGTTATTTTTGTTAGTTTAAAAAAGCGACGCTTTTGTCGCCTTCACGCCTCGTCGCCTCGCTGTTCAGAAAACGCTACTCCTCAGATGAAAATAGCGTTAAGCCTCCGCTTCGCATCGCCTCACACTATTAGCGCTGAGGCGAGCGCTATTTACAACACTGCCTTCTCAAAAAAAGTGTTTTTGGCTTTGGAGAAGCTAGGCCTTTTTTCAAAGTTAGTGTTTGGCCAAGCTTTTAGAAGAAAAAAAGTGCTTTTGAGTAAAAGCATAAGCAGTTTTGGAAAAGCAGAAGAAAGGACATGGAACAAAGGAATTACAGGTTTAATCGAGGAGATATTGGGACCAAGAAAAAGAGATTAAAGACTCTCAACAGAACCAAACGTCGCACCCAAGGGTGTGGCCTAGTGGTCAATGAAGTGGGTAAGAACCATGAGGTAATCCCAGCGGACGCAAAAAGCACAAGCGAATCTATCCAACCCTTGGTTGATAGAGTTATCTGCTACTTGTTGTTGGTAGGAGGTGGCAGGTACCCTGTAAAACTGGTTAAGGTACGCGCGAGTTGCCCAGACACCACGATTATAAAAAACAAAAATCAGAAAAGAAAAAAACCACAAACGTCCGCCCACAAGATCTCATTGAAATACAAGGTAATTCTACAAAGCCTAACTCGCTTTACTCCTTGTTTATTTAGACCTTCACCTTCCGATTACCAAATGTAAAAGGGTAAGAAAAGTCACCAAGCATCCCATGTCAAATTTTAGGTCATATAGAAACTTGTCCCTTTTCCTATATAGCGTTTCTTTCTCAGTTATCACGAATGGACATACCGAGAAATGTGCCGGATGCTTTGAATGTTCCCTAGTGGAAGGAGGCAATTCAAGAGGAGATGAACGCTCTTGAGAGAAATGAAACCTAGGAAATGGTAGAACTACCACGTGGAAGAAAATAGTGGGCTGCAAGTGGGGTAGCAAAAGAGTTCACTCAAACCTTACGGGATTGACAATCTCGAGACATTGGCAGCTAAGCTGAATTCAATCAGGGTCCTAACCGTTGCTGCCAACCTTGATGGGCCCCTTCAACAACTAGAAGTGAAGAATGCATTCTTGAACGGAAAACTCGAAGAAGAAGTCATGGATCCTCCTCCGGGTTTTGAAGAAAGTTATGGAACTAGAGTGTGCAAACTAAAGAAATCTCTCTACTGGCTCAAGCAATCTCCAAAGCTTGGTTTGAGAGGTTTGTGAGAAAACAAGGGTACACTCAAGGGCAAGCAGATCATACTATATTCATTCAACATTCACTTGAGGGAAAGACAACCTAAGTTGCTTGGACACTTCACTTTCAGTGTCGCACCCGTATCGACACGACATGGGTGTGGGTATGGGATCACGACCACACCTAGTCAACCGATTTTGGGTACTTTGACCAAAATCGACGGAGAAATTCGGGACAGATACAATGATTTTTGAAAACAAAACAAAAGCTAGGGTGATATTGAAGAAAATGGAATACCTTGTAAATAAAAATTTCTATAGTCCTTTTCCTTTTATCTCCTTCTCGGTTTCTCCTCTTGTTCAATTTCTCCTTCTCGGAATACCTTGTGAGTTTTTCACATAATGTCTCATAATTTAGACATATTTTTATAACTCTATTTTTAAATATTTAAATTATTTAAGCCGAACCCCGCACATGTATCCATACCTGGATCCGCACACCCGAATCTTAAATTTTATATCACGAAGGATCTGACTTCTAGATCCGCACCCGTGTTGGACACCAGTGGCGGAGCCAGAATTTTCGTTAAGGGGTATCAAAATGTATAAAATAAACATGCAAGAAATTAAGGGGAGTCAATATATATATATATATATATATATATATTTCTTTTTTCCTACCTGCACAATGTATTTTTTTGGTGAAGGGGTGTCATTTGACACCCCTTCCTATAAGGTGGCTCCGCCATTGTTGGACACCTGCACTCGAGTCCGAGCAACTTAGAAGACAACTATCCTAATAAGTGTACATCGATGATATCATACTTACAGGAAATGACTTGTCGAAAATGAAGAATGCTGGCATCAGAGTTCGAGATCAAAGATTTGGTCCAGTTGAAATATTATCTTGGCATGGAAGTAGCGAGATCAAAAGACGGTATTATGGTCTCACAAAGGAAGTATGTGCTAAATCTTCTAAAAGAGACAGGAATGAGTGGTTGTTGTCCAGCTGTGACACCTATTGATCCAAAAATATAATTCGGAAATAAAGAAGGAAATTCAATTGACAAAAGTCAATATCAGAGACTAGTGGGGAAGTTGATTTACTTGTCACACACTCGGCCTGATATAGCTTTTGCAGTAAGCTTAGTCAGTCAATTTATGCACTCTCCGACGGAAGGGCATCAAGAAGCAGTCTACAGGATTCCAAGATATCTGAAAAGTTAGGGTTGCTTTTCAGGAAAAATCAACAAAGGGGCATAGAAAGCTTTACAGATGCGGACCGGGCAGGTTCTACTACTGAGGAGGTCTCCTCCTGGATATTGTAAATTCATCTGGGGAAATTTTGTGAATTGGAGGAGTAAAAAGCAGAATCCCGTAGCACCGCAGAAGCTGAATATCGATCTATAGCCCAGGGGATATATGAGATGATTTGGCTCAAGAAGATGATGGAAGAACTAAAAAAGGCAATTGTTCTACCAATGAAGTTATACTGTGACAACAAGGCCGCAATAAGCATTGCTCACAATCCAGTTCAACATGATAGAACAAAGTATGTTGAAGTGGATAGGCACTTCATAAAAGAAGAGACTGAAGAAGGAAGTATCTGCATGCCTTTCTCCCCAACAAATCAGCAAATTGTAGATATTTTCACAAAAGGCTTGTTCACAAATTTTGAATTCTTGTAAGCAAGTTAGGCATGACAGATATTTACATGCCAACTTGAAGAGGAGTATTGATTTGTGAATATTTGATTATGATTTGTAGGATCTAAATAAAATCCAATCTGCTACGTTGTTAAGTATTTTTAGGAATCTGTTAAGCTGAAATAATGCCTTGATTGTTTCCTAGTTGTTTCTTTTTCTGTGCTATAAAATTGTACCTCTACAGATGATATATTGAGGTAATTTGGTACCAAAACTAACAGAAGGGAAAGTTGACCAAGTGATATTTATATTGATCTAACTGGTCTCACCATATCCAAATAAGAAATGTTCACCATTAAACCTTCATGTAGTTTATGAACTATAAATAATCAAATGTGAGTCCATTGCTCCCATAATTAGAGGCAGTTAGCGGGTAATTACCGTTCCAAATGCATTAGACACTTAATGCTGACACATGGAACTAATATGGATTAAGCACAGTAGAATTTTGTCAAGAAGGTGAGACAAACACAAGGAGTTTATGATAACGATGTTTAAGCATAATGAGAAAGTGGCATCTCATGAACTGGGAGTTTTACCTCATCAACAAAAATTATTACAGGAGCCAGCTTACTGGCAAATGAGAAGAGTGCCTTGGTAAGCTTTTCAGCGTCTCCAAACCACTGCAAAAGGAGAAAGGAGGTAAAATATAAAATAGTTTAATAAAGTTTAAGAGGAAGCAATCAAGCTTTCCAGAAATAAGACAATGAAAACATCGAAAAGAGACGCAAAACACAGCCTTGAGAGGCAGAAGAGGTAGATTGACAACATGAATACTGTTTTATTTTGTTTTAATAGTCGGTAACAAGAACTTTTCTGATGTCAACATGATTAAAAACACAGCTCCGCTCACAACAGCATTCTATCATAAAAAATGCAAAGTAAGACTAATTGTTCCTGCAAACAACGTTTAAGTTCCCATTAAGAATCCTTTCAGCCTTTTTAGAATAAAACTACAGGAAGAAAGATGAAATACTGATGAATCTAGAAAATTTAAACAAGACTCATTCCTTTGTGCAATACAAACTAATTTCATGCCAGTCAATACAAAAGGACGAGAATTATGCCAAATATAAAATAAATAGGTTACTGAATACAGTAGTACTTGCAACTCTGGATTTTCCTTTAATAAAAGTCTTAACTAATAACGTAATATACCAACTATGATAGGATAAGGAATTAATAACAATTAGTTGAATTAATGAACAACCAACTGCCTCCTCCACATCCCCATTCCCCATAGAGAACTTCAAAAAGGTAGGCAAATCCCAAAAAAATTGCTAAACAGACACATTCATGGTACACATTGGTAATCAGGACAAAAGGAGCTTCTTGTTTCCTTATCATTAAGAAGGCTAACTTTCCCTTGTAGCTGATACTCTTACATGGTATTCAGTTCAGGAAGCTTGGCCGTTAACTTGGTATTACATAATGCTGACTTGACAAGACGAGTTGTCAGATTGCGTAGCAAACAGGGCACATCGGCATTCATTTTACACTTCTTAGTTCCAGCAGTGAATCATGCATAATAAAAATTGAAGCTCGTTAATGACTGTCATATTTTTTGAATTTTCCAGCAACACTAGTAACTGTAAGGCTCCAGTCTGTCATGACAAATATTTGCCTTCAGCAGAGATTTTCCTTTATTAATTTATCACATTAACCAGAGACTTTATTACCCATAAATTTTCTTTTTTCGATAACCGAGAAATCCCCGAGGGCCAGTGACGCACGGTTTGAAACTCGATGGATACTGAACGGCCCCTCTACCCTTCTCCACTTCACTACCAAGCTTTTGTCTGCGGCAGGGTTCACCCATGACGTATTACCCATATTTTGTTTCTTTTTAGTATAAAAACATGTCAATATATGAGTTATGCTCTGGTCTAATTAATAATTTTAATCTTTTCAGATGATGATGATGATAACATAAATTAAAAGATAAAGTACATAACTGGACATTGTCCCAGCAAGACAAAAAAGAAATGAAAATAAAGAGATAGCATTTGCTTAACTTACCTTTGATGTAAGGGTTGAACCAGTAATACTAATGAAATTAGCTCCTGCTTCTGTTGCAAGCGCCTTAGCAACAAGAGTTTTTCCAGTTCCAGGAGGCCCAAAAAGTAAGATCCCCTTGCAAGGCTGATCAAAAGAAAAAGGTAACTAAACAGTACCTAAAACGTTCTCTTTTGTTTCTTTTTCAGGAGGATTACTAGCAAGACGGATAAAATACCCGCAACAGATTTCCACGGGAGAAAAGCTCTGGTCGCCGCATTGGTAGGATTACAAGTTCATTCAGTGCCTTCTTTACTTCTTCAAGAGCACCAATATCATCAAATTTGACTCCAATTTCACCTGGTGGAACGACTGCTGAGACAAAGTTGTTCTCATACTCATCCTTGGCAAGATTCTGCAAATTTGAAAGTGGTCCATGGTAATAAACTAGAACTCTTAATATATTTTTTTTAGCATTAAAGCAGGGGATAATACCTTAAGATTCTGGGACGGCTTTTTTGACATTGTTTCCTGCTCCTTTAACCTCAAAATTGCGGTTTCAAGGCTTCGCATGATAAACAGCAGAAATGAACTTCAAACTCGTGCAAAACGTAAGTCCATTTACACATACAGAAAAGCAAAAAAGAATTACCTTTCACGAGGCAGATACAATCTATCCCCTTTAATAGATGGTTGGAGGCACGTGTACAAGTAATGATTTTTTGCCCAACCAATAACTTTTTCAGCTTCTGTAGATGTAAGAGAAACCGAAGATCAGACCAATAATGCAAAAGCTTTTAGCTTTCCCTTAAATTTATGAAAGTATGATTTACCTTCCCATATAAACTAACAGCATTCTTTATTTTAATGCAGGTTTCTCCTTAAACTGCATCCCATTTTATATAACACTACTACTATTTGGGAAATCAGACAGTTTTTTCTTCAATGATACTTTTTCAATTATTTCTTAAATATTTTATTTTGATTTAATCATTTCTTAAATGCTTTCAATTATAATGATTGAACTTCACAGTACTGTTTACCAATGTTTTTATAGACGAAAAGCAAAAAAATGACAGGGTTCATGGCCTTGAAATGAAAAGTGAGAATTTAAGTGCACACTTCTTTGAAGTTAAGTCTAGAATTCGTGACTTTAAAGAATACCAAACGTATATGGATTTAGTACTACAGCAATCAAATTACCATTAATTCAAGTATACAATATGATATTAATCCAACTCCTCAAATTTAGATTCAAAGGACCAACAACTTCTCATTGGGATCACTTTGCGTATCATAGTTTGAAGCACATGGCTTCACCCATAAAGCGATAACCTGTAGCTTTGCATCACAATGGTTCTTAATAACACTACTTTATACATATTTTACAAATATGTAAATTTTTACTTTTAAAAAAATTAGGAATCAATATCCTAATTCGATCAGTGTTGTCAAACGCTCATTTAGGGCGAGCTTAAGCCCTGAAGCTCAAAAAAGCTCAAGGAGGGTACTTCGCCTTGCTTAAGCTGCGGTCAAGGTAGGCAAGGCACTAAGGCGTGCACCTCAGTGCCAATGATTTATATCTTGGATTGAGTGGTAATAAACAACAAATATAATCAGCAAAGAAGTGCATTAGTTGTTAAGGAAAATATTATGAATGAATTTGTTACTTTTTTCTTGAATTACATGTATATTTTTATCTTTATCCTTCATTGCGCTTTTTTAACTAAAACTCGCACTTTAATTGCGCTTTGCGCTTAAAGCCTCAGTAGACCTAGAGCGCTTGTTAGAGCTTTTCGCCTTAGACAACACTGAATTCAATGAAGTTTAGATACTTTGACACAACGTACTTTAAACCCGTCATTCTTTACTGGATAGAGGGAGTATTATTTAAGAGATAACTCCAAGAAACCATAATATAATCTCAATAACCTATACTTCCTAGATCTCCATTCTTGATAAAACTGGAGAAAGACACAAAAGTTGAATTCGGATATTAGTATATCTATGACCAAGTGAGAGCTGAACATTCCCATTCTGATTTGTTCAATTAAAAGAAACAATATATTCTGATTTCACACAAAACACTTACTCTGCTTTGTCAGAATTACACCATCAGTATTTACATGCAACAAATCAATGCATGAAAGCTCATGCTCTTCCAGAACCTGAAATATATATATTTATAGTGAAAATTCCACCAATCAAAAAGAACCACCAATACAGAGACGATAAAGATGTGCAACTAAATGAACATATAGAGGTACCCAACCATCTGTTTAGAAGATCTTAAATAGAATAAAATTCAAATGAATACATCCAAAAGCACATATCTTTCTCCATACCTTGTACAATTCATTTAGGTTACTACGAGCTATTACAATTCTCCTGTCTTCTTCAATCTGTTTATTAAATGTGCTAAGGAGATCTTCCTCCTGTAAATAGAAAAACCATGGCAGGATGAGAAACCACCAAACTGAATACAATGCTTAAGAAGACAAATGTACGAAAGGAATAACTTGAAAAAACTATTTTCACCAATGAGGCATCAAACAACAAAACAAAGAAAGTGCTGTGACAAAGAAAATCATATGTTGTTAACCTATTAGCGTTCGGAATGTCGAGCGTACGGAAGCAAGAAGTGTTTGTGCGCTACTTGCACTCATGTGGACCATTTCAAGAGAGAGAAATAGGAGAGCTTTGATGGAACAGAGAAGAACTTGTACATTTGAGGATTAGCCTCTTTTCCCATATTAGGTTTTAGTGCACCCATGAGAGATCTTTAAGCATAGAAGATCGGGTGTCTTTCGTAGAGAACCGTATTTCTTTGTGAGGTTTCTCTATTTTTTGGTATACTTCTGGTATACGGGTATTTATGCCCTTCATTGATGAAATCTTATCACCTTATAAAAAATGAGAACCAAATGACATGATATAACGCAACACTAAAACTGCTAAAATTAGGAAAAGAAGTACTTAATTGCATTTCCTGTAGTTAGAAACTACACAAAATGTATACTTTAAAGAGAAATTCAAGTTTCACTGGAACAAAAATGACTTTAAACAAATGGATCTTCAAACCAAAATCATAAAAATCGGCATAATAAACAGCTTTAGGTGACAAAATCATTCCATCTTTCATGGCTTAATGATTCATTTGGCTTAATGCATAGTTTCAACAACAACAACAACAACAACAACAACATACCCAGTATTATCCCACACCGTGGAGTCTTGGGGAAAAAAATCTTCGATTAATATGAGGAACAAGTAAATTAGGAATTATGAGTCCTTTCCTTAAAGTATAGCAAAACAGTACAACAATTATGAGAAACTATAAGCACTACTATTGTTTCTGGTAACACACCACAGAAATATAAGCAATTACAGCTCCCTATTATCAAAAAAACAAAAACTACTACAACAACAGTAAGAAATTTTTAGTAGTTAACCATCTAAATAGTACATGCCATGTCAAGCGCCTATTTGTAGGTATGGGTTCATCAACATATTTCAGTATCTGACAAGAAATTTTCGCATTCCACTACAACGAACTACAAATGTTAGTCTACTATGAATCAAATAGATGCAGGGAGTGAGCAGAATCCTGCTTCTTAAAAAGTAGTGGATGGAGTCAAACATTTGCTTGTACTGCGACTTCAACAACAGATTGTGGACAGCTGTTTGGAACTTCTCCAGATAGAGTGGGTGATATATGGTAATGTTAAGAATATGTTATTGAGCTGGACGTATTAGGGAAAGAAATTGCTTTTTAGATGAGTCACACATGTTAGTCTCCTATGAATCAACTGTAGGGAGTGAGCGAAGCTTGCATCTTAAAAATCAGGGGAGGGCATAAATCACTTGGTTTTGCACTGTTTGCCAACAGAATGAGGAGATGTTTGGAATTTTTCCAGATAGAATGGGTGATGTTTGGTAATCTTAAGGTTATGCTATTGAGCTGGATGTATGACGGAACAAATTCAATATGGAAAATCTCATACTATTAAGAAAGAATTCTTTTCCGAACTCCAGGTATGGAGTATATATATCTTTTGTTCAGTGACTTCCCTATTGTCTTATCATTAAACACTAACCAAAGACAACCGACATGTATCCTACGGAACCGTTTTATAATTTGAAACACCAGCAGACCTTTCTGGTTCGCGTAAAATGAATTTAGAGAAAGGGCAGCCTTGTGCACTAAGCTCCTACTCTGCGGGGAAATTTCTGAGTAGAAGGAAATTTATACTCAGAAAAATAGCTCCCTGATATATGGATCACATATGGGGAAATTTACAAATTGCACAAAATATTGTTTCCAAATTACACAGAAAAAGACAATAAATCATCTGATCACCTAGCACGATCGCAGAGAGTTTTCGGTTATAATGCTACTAAGATTAAGTGGCACGAAATTAGTANATCAAAGTGGTAAACGAACATAAGACTCTTGATCAATTAAGTATCACACCTCACATAGTGCCTCCATGGCAATGTAGCAGTCTTCAGCCTGAGCATCGAGATCGTGTTCAATCTCATTGGCTGTGAACAGAGGAGACAGTTAAAATCTTAATATTTTTAATTATGCATATACGTTCAGACATTAAATACCACGGTACTACTCAATATACAGACTATGGTTGAAATTTGGAAACTCAATATAAATAATCTCTTTATCACCAAACAAATTTCATGTTGAATAGCCTATCCGGAAACAAATACTTTAACAAGTTATACAAGAAGTCAAATAAAAGTCTCCCCCAATAATATTTATGGCAATTGCTTGTCGTCTATTGAGACTGATAGTCATCCAGTGTGAAGTCAAAGTCAGTTTTTAGACCATCCAGTCTGAAGTCACAATCAGCAGCCGAATAGGCCACTCATTCTGTACTGAAGAAACAACGTATTGAGACTTAAACAACTTTTCAATGATAAACTGCAGAGTCCCGTCTAGCCCCTTTGTCATCCACCCTCTCCTCTCCCCCTACTAAACCACAAAAAGGGAAAAAAGTATCAGGGGCATACCACGTTGAAGCATAAAACCTTTGGAAATCAGTAGAATTTATCACAGAAAACCTAGTTGAAAGGACATATGAGAGCAAATCCAAATGCATTTAGTAGACCCATAGAAACAACGCCTCTGGCATTATAGATAAATATTCTTTTGTTTGTATTTTCTTTTTTGAGGGGGGAGGGAGGTTGGCCTCAAATGGGAATCCAAATCTTTTGAGAAAACTTAGTCATGGAAACCAGCCCAGTTAGTTTTCCTTTCCTTTGAATACATTCTTATGTGTCTATGCAACTAACTTCTCTCCCAAGATCAGACCTTGCTCGAAAATCTAATATGTCTGATATAGCCCTAGTTTATCTTGGATTTAACCTACGCTAAAGCAGTGTTGTCAAAAGCTCATTTAAGGCGCTTTTAAGTCCTAAAGCTCAGGGAAGGTGCTTCGCCTCGCTTAAGTTGTGCTTCAGTGTAAGCAAGCACTAAGGTGTGCACCTCATTGCCCATGAGTTCTATCTTGAATCGAGTGGTACTAAACGATAAATGTTATGGCAAATAAGTGTATTAGTTGTTGTTGAAGACAGTAGGAATGATTTTGTTTCTTTTTTCTTGAATTGCATTTGTATTTTTATTTTCTCCCTTAGTTGTGCCTTTTTTTAACTAAAGCCCGCACTTTAGTTATAAAGCCCCAATCGACCTAAAGCGCTTTTTAGAGCTTTTTGCTTCTGTCAACACTGCGCTAATGCCCCCTATGCTGCCACCACAACCTTCTCATATTACCAGCAAAGCTCACCTCCATCTGAAATTCACTCTTGTATCTGCCGCATGCTTGTCCATATACCAAATTTTCACATGCTTGTCTTCCTAGGAACCTGTATTAAGATGTAGTGTCGAAGGATAATGCACTTCTTCCATGCTTGAACTTGCCAGGACCTTGGTACCCTTACTTCAAGCTTTGCTCTGGGCGAATGGCTCCATCCAATGTGATCGACATTGCATCTCGACCTTTTCATGCTGCGGAGCGAACCCTACTTTGAGGAGAAAGAAATACTTTCCTAAAGTTAAAGTGAATTCAAGCCGGTCTTCAACATGCAGAATAATTGTCCGGAGAAAGCAAAAGGTTCTTGGAAGGGGGTGTGTGTGTGTGTGTGTATAGTATCAAAACTTCAACATCATCAGTTCACGGATACTTCTGTGACTGCTGCTAGTTGAGGAGCATACATACCACTATGTGTTCTCAACAGTCGAGGGGCATAGAAGGCATATTTCTACAATGCTGCTAATTGTACAATAATTATTTGAATCATTTACCCCTCCCCTGGGGGAGGTAGCTCTTTGAGACACTTTCCTACTGAAAGATTCCCCCTGTCCTCCAGCCACCCCCCACCCCCCAAAAGAAAACCAAAAAAAGTAGGTAAATGAATAAGATTTTTTTAAATATAATCACTCAGAGACTGATAATAAAAATATATGAATGCAGCGCAATTCTACAAAAGGCCACTCAAATAACATTCAGAAATATATAATTTAAAGGAATTGTTACTATAGAGAATGATGCAGTAACAGAGAGGGTAAAATTACGGTTCAACACACTATCGTTCGTTCAACAGTGATCTGATTTATAGTTTTTTTTTTCCAGGTACATTTCAAGTCTATTAGAACGCAGCTTCTTCTTGTTACCTCACAGTCTATTGATCCACAGGAGTGTCTGTTCCCTAGTTGTCTTAGGACGTAACTTATTTTCATTTCTTTTAACATACCCTCTGTCCCACAAAGAATGGCAGTGTAGGGAGTATGAGGGTCAACATTCATATAATTTTCGGCGTGAGCTCAGATATTGATGTCTTAGAATTTTTTTTAAAATAAAATATATATATATATATTTAGAAACTACACTAGATAAATACTACAAATAACAATTTTTGTTGTTTCTGTATCAGTAACAATTTTCTTAGTGTTTAAAAAGGAGATCTTTACAGAAATAATCAGCCGGATTCACTATTTACTTTTCCTATCATACACTGATTATATACGGTTATACACATATTATACATGAATTATACATATATTATACCTCCACCGGCTATTTTTAGCTTAAGCAGTTGGATGGACAGCTATTTAGGTTAATTCTTCTAAAAAAGTCAAAGGTTTTAAGAAATTTTAGTGAAAGAAAAAATTGGTTGTTTTCCAAATAGTAATAGTACAATTCTTTTTAGGACAGGGAGAACAGTTACTTAATTGACAAGAATTAGGAATCCTAGATTGATTTGCATAGAATTCTTAGAGTCCTTTTTCTTATAAATATGACTAGATTTCAATTATTTGGGATTCGGGGCATACTCGATCAATCGATTGACATAACTGGATTCCAATTTCTCAACAAACAAATAAATATCAACCTATATTAATAACAACTTTTTTGGCCTTTTGGCTTTTAGCATTCTCTTTAAAGACCACAAGGATTTGCTCAAAGTTAACCCCTAAGCCAAGCTCTTTTTCCTTGGTTTCCCTCTAACATACAAACTACAGATTCGACCTGAGTTGAAGAAAACCACTTCCTACCTAATCCCCCTTCGTCCCAGACACATGAGATGAAACCCTCTTTGAATTTAACCCAGTATGCTTAAAGATGTACATGGAAAAAAGGAAAATTCTGAAACTACAAGAGAAAGAAGATGGATTTATCTTTCTTTTTTCCAAGGAAAAAAGAAGATGATTTATCACAAATTTACTGCAATCTCAGATGACAAATACATACCAGGAATCCAGTATATTGATGGTTTCACATCTTGTGATTTGGGTTTCTCATCTTTCTCTTCTTCCGTTGTTTTCTTTTCAATAACATCAAAAATTACAGCAATCTGATCACCATTCACCTCATACACCTCACCACGTTGACCACTGGACATGGACCTGCAAAGGCATATTGGTTGTAACAACTTATATGCATGTGTCTGTTAAAATGACATTTAAGCAACTCTTTACTTAAATACCTTTTAGGCAGATACATTTGTAAAACACATTAACTGCTAAATAGATGCTTCAAAACTAAATAACAAATTCGCATCTTAAACATCTAAAAGAGCTAGGTGCATAGATGTTGGCTTTAATATTGAGAATAACAAACAAATAAACAAAAATGATCAGGACAATGACAGTGATGGCAAATAATGATACGGCAACTTATTTCACTGCAGATGCCTAGATCAAATGCAGAACCTTCATACTTGCTTTCATTATCTTAGATATAAAGCCGAGCGCTTGCACTAGCACAAGAGCATTGCAGTATATCACTATGAGCATCAAAAAGGACATTTTTTAAGACAGAAGCCACAAGGAATCCTGGTGGATGATGAGCAAAAAAGCCCAACTACCATCCCAATTATTTTATATCTTTCCAGTGAGAAGGAACGTCAAAGATACAATCATGCGTCCAAGCACCAAATGGAGAAAAAAATTTCTCTATAGCACTTGCGACGACTTACCAACCCACCTTCCATGAATAACAGTGAAAGCATTTGTTGGACCACCAGAAGTAGGTATCTTCCCCAATACAATCCTGTGATGAATTGGATTATGTCAATTACTAAATGCTGCTTAATCCATAGTTCACATGGGTTATACTAATGGTAAGACCTCCACTTCGCAACAAAACTCTCAGCTCTCTAAACAAGCAAAGCACGAACATGAAAGCAAAAAATAAAGCTGCATGGCTCGCTCTGAGAGTAACAATTTCTTAATAAAGCAATAACACACCCCCAAAACTGTTTTTAGTACAGCAAAGAAATGTAAACAAGAATAGAATGCTTCTAACTCCTAAGCTTTAAACATGATGCACCTCTTAATTCTTTGAGACTTTCCTTTTTCCTCTCTTTTCAGTTTCCTACAAAAGCAAATCTACCAAATACAAAGAAATTCAGATATCCATTTAAAAGTTACCCAACTCCAACAACTCCAAATAATATGCAACAACCCACTTTATGTTGTTTTGGCCTTGCTATGATATACCACATTTATCCATTCAAATATACGTGTCCTAATTGCCACTAGTATATAGGGTCATCTGAAGTCTGAAACACAAAGTTTGACAGATATTTCAACATAATCTGCTCTTAGGATCAAAACTGAACTGGCAGTTTATTTTGTTGTCAATCATATTATAGCAGGGCATTACTAAGCACTACAACTCATATTGGAAGAAAAGGAAGCTGATATTTCATCTACTTAACATGGATTCCTCCACATACAACACTACTGCACGGTGTAAGCAGAAGGATCGTTTGCCGGGATAACCTTTTACCGACCTATAAAGGGCCTTCACGCACTTATTGTTTAGAGCTTTTACTTTCTTTTTTCTATATCTTCTTTACTAGTGAATTTAGGAACTTACTCCTCCATGTTTTTCATCATCTTTTGGGTGAATCACTTCTTTCAAGCAATCGATTGAACATCTCAGCTATTGACAGGAATTTAGCTTGCATTGACTAAGGCCTCATTTAATTGCACTTAATGAAGGTCTGCATTCTGATCATCCAAACCTCAGTTATTAAGTGTGTTTAGTCACTAAGTGCAATTTTTTTTATGTCTGAATCTTAATCATTCAGATTTCAATCATTAAGTGCGTTTACAGCCATTTAGTGGGTTTGAACATATAACAAAGCCTTAATATCATTAAGATGCTATCATCCACCTTCACAACTAACCATCAATATTGCTCACCATTAACAACCACCACCCACAACCATCATCCTCAACCACAATCGCCACTGCTACCAACCACCACCGCTAGCCACCATTTACAATCATCACCACCAATTACCATTATCACACAACCACCAATCACCACCGACCATCACCAACATTAGCCACCGCTAATAGTTACCACCACCATCAACTATCACTATCATCCACCACAATTATTAGCCGTCACCACCAACTACCACTATCAACCATCACCTTTAACATTTATTGTCAGCCACCGTCACCACTACTTACCACCCACAACCACCACCATCAACCAACACCACCACTCTCAATCGGCACTAATAACAATCATGGTTAGCCATCATCACCACAAATTATTATATTAATTTAAAGATAGTTTATTAATATAATATTTTATTTGAATTTTGTATTTATTAATTTTTAAATAAAGGCAAATTTTACACATTCAGATGTTGAAAAGACGAATTATTTTTTTTATTCAGTATTCAGGTCTGAATACACATCTTAAAATTCACATGTGTATTCAAATTTACACGTCTTAATCTTAACACATCTTAATATTCAGATATGCATATAGATTCAGACATCTTAATCTTAATAAATAAATGAAGCCCAAGAGAAGCAAGGACTTCTAGAAGAAGATGCCATCATGTGATGAGAAATAAAAAGGAAAATAATAAAAAGTTCAAGTGGATGAAACTGATGCAGCTACTTTCGAAGTAACAGAAACAATAGCAACAAGTTGGTAAAATTTGATAGCCAAATCTAAATTTGTGGAAAGCCTTGTAATTTGCTAAACTTGCTTGCGCCTATCCGCTGATTCTGTTGCCCATCAGTTAGCAGAACTTTTTCAGTAGTACAAATCACTACACTTCACCTCTTTCTATATGATATGGAATTTCGTTTTTACAAAGGTACCCTTCAGCTAAGTTGCTCAAACTCTTCACTTTGGTGCCGCACCCGTGTTGACACGACGTGAGTGTGGGTGTGGGTATGGGATCCCCACCGGATATGGTCAACCGATTTTGGGTACTTTGACCAAAAATGACGGAAAATTTTAGGACAGGTAAAACGAGTTATGAAATCAAAATAAAAGCTAGGGTGAAATTGAAGAAAATGGAATACCTTATGTATAGAAATTTCTATGTCAGTCCTTAAACTTCTATCTCCAACTCGGATTATCCTCTTAACTAATATTTTCTCCTTCTTGGAATACCTTGTAAGTTTTTCAAATAATGTCTCATAATTTAGACATATTTTAATGACTCTATTTTAAATATTTGAATTACTTTTAGCCGAATTCATGCACCCGTATCCATACCTGGATACGTACTACCGAATCTTAAAATTTAGATCATGAAGGATCTGACCTCTTGATCTGCACCTGCATCGAACACCCGCAACCGAGTCCGAGCAACTTAGCCCTCCAGCCAGACAACATAGTAGTCTTTGGGATCAAAAGATGTTAACCAACGATACAAACCTAATAGATAGGTCATAGGTAGGTCATCCAGTTTGAATAGGTTAAACTTAAAAGCAAATCCTAACCTTATCTATCTAAACTCTAGTGGACAGAGTTACCCAATAATTGTGTTGGTGGGGAGGTAGCAAGTACCCGGTGGATTTAGTCGAGGTGCGAGCCAGCCGGCCAAACACCATCGCTATTAAAAAGAAAAAGCAGATTCTACCTCTTGTTCTTACCTTCGAAAATCCCATTGTGGTGGTGTATTCAAGAATGAGCACTCATGTGTAAGACTCTGACAGGGAGTTCTTAAGAATTACTACAATGTTGCTCATGTGAGCAACATGTGCAATATTGATTAAGCCCAACTAATTTAGTACTAGAGGAATAGTAGTCTTATAAAAAATTGATTGTTTAGTAGTCTTACAAAAAGTTCAGAATACAGGGTATTTAGATTCTTCCTAGCAAAACCATATGTTCTCAAGGTTTAACAATCAATGTCCTAGTCTAAGATATGACGCGACAGTGAATTCCTAATTTTAATTTTGATAATGGACAGTGAATCCGAACATAACCCGCTCTAATGCCATTTTAACAATCGGTCAAGACAGCTTATTGGGTTATTGGTTGCTCATTAAAAGCTTAAGTCTAAGCTTTTTGGGAAGCAGCTACCTCAAAAGCCTAACAGATTATGCAATGATGTGTAACTACCCAAAGTGAGGAGGGGTATTACAGGCACTTTTTCTTTCTATTGAAAATATTTCAACTCATAAAGGTTGCAACAAAAGTTGGAGGGCTACATGAAAGCAAATGGTACGTGCGATGGTAATCGTGAAAATATAGATGAACTGGTAAGAAAAATGGAAAGAAAGGTTACTCATGTAGATCAGCAAGTATAAATAAAATTTGCCAGCTAATTTGCAGAAAGTTAAAGACTCTAGAAGCAGGACGATTTTGATTATTTAAGATATCTAAGAAGACAAATACTAGAGAGATGTGCCCCATAGAAGAACTAACCTGTTATCAGCTTTAACAACACCAGAAGGTCCAGTGTATTTTACTCGATCCCCTGTATGTAGATAAAAATGTAAATATAACAGAGGAAAACTACCATGACAAAGTAAAAGCAGATACTCCTCAAAAGATAGTAAATATGATTATTGCAGTTATCAAAATTGAACATCACGTTACCATTTTAAGTGTCAAACTTAAATATATTGTACTGAAGCTCCCAAATTAAGTTGTAATGAATTTCAAAGTAGAATAACTGCATTTGGTCATAACATTATACAGTTGCTACATCTGCATGCTTTATTTAATTTAATAAAATAAATCAAGCATCTCCAAATTGAGTTACAATTGGGAAATATGTACTTTTAGTCCCTCAAATATCAACAAATTTGGGTTTTGGTCCTTGTGATTTGTGTATTAAAAAGTGTGGGCGTGAGGTAAGGCTTTTTATCTAGCGCTTGGCGAGGCATAAGCCCCGGGCGCAGGGCTTAACCTCATGGATCATTAATTTTAATATTTTGTAAATTAATAAAATAAATATATAAATAAAAAAGTAAAAATTACATTTAAAATGTAGAAAATTATAAAATTAGTAGGAACATGTATATATCTATTTAAACATGCTAACATGTGCATAAACATTATAAAAGAATTTTTTTTCTTATTTGAAAAAGTGAAAGACGTTGAGATGCAATGATGCATTACACCTGTAACATGACTATGATGGAACATACCTAGGCCTCATTTGTTTTTTTAAGATTAAGACGTCTGAATCTGAATACACATCTGAATATCAAGATGTGTATTAAGATTAAGACAACTGAATCTGAATATATTAAGATGTGTATTAAGATCTAAATACTAAAAATTAAAAATTAAGACTGTTTGATTTTTAACATCTGAATGCAGAAAATTTATTTTTATTTGAAAAATAATAAACACAAAATTCAAATGAAATACTAACTAATCTAATATTCTATCAATAATATATATATATATATNTGATTATGATTGAGGATGGTGGTGGTGAGTGGTGATAGTTAATAATGGCGGGTGGTGATTTGTGATTGAAGAAGGTCGTGGTAGGTTATAATGATGGGTGGTGCCGGCTGTGGTTGTTAATGGTGATGGAGTGGTTGGTTGTGGTAGTTGAGGTGGATAAGTGTTAACTGTTGGTGAGAATGATGGTGGTCGGAGTGGTGGGGATGGTGGATGGTGATGGTGATGGTCAATAATGGTGGTGACTATGATTGAGGATGGTGGTGGTGGTGGTGGTTGACTATGGTGGTGGTGGTGGTGGTTGACTATGGTGATGGTGGTGGCATGGTGGTAGTTGATAATGGTAGGCGGTAGCGGCAGTTAATAATGAATATGTGATAGCATCTTAATGAAATTAAGTCTCTGTTATAGATCTTAATCATACAGACCTATTCAGACCCATTAAGTGGTTGTGAAGTAAAAAAAACAAACACACTTAATGATTAAGAGCTGAATAATTAAGATTCAGACTTTAAAAACAAACGCACTTAATGTCTGAGATCTAAATGATTAAGATTCAGACCCCATTAAATGCAAACAAATGAGGCCTTAGAGTTGTAAAAATGATACTAGTTCCTAATAATTCAAAAAATACAAAAGACAAGAATATAAAATTATTGTTAGAAAGCCTAAAACTAAAAAAAAAAAATCACAAATACTCATTATAATAAAAAACGAGCATTTTTTAAGAGTCTCCAGAACGATATCTAAACTAGAGTGATACCAAAAGAAATTCTAAAACCAAAAACTAACTTGAAAATTATAGAAAGCAAAAACAAAACTTGAAGAAAATGAAGCAAAGAAAGGAAGTTGCAAGTGCAGAAGCAGAGCAAGCTTCAGAGGACCAAACGTTTGCTTTGTAGTTTGCACTTTGAAAACAAAGGGGAAGAATATTCGTTACTCAATAAACGAAAAAAAGACTATTATGAATTAGGATAAACAATTAGTAAAGATCTATGAATTTTGAGTTTTTCAGTTTAAGAATTTACTATGAGTTAATTTATGAGCACGTAAGTATTAAAAAAGAATTTATTAAGCAATTTTGGCTCCAACTTGACAAAGTTCTCTTGCCCAATATGAATGCCCAGAATGTTGGGACTTACGCCTAAGGGAACGGGCAGAAGGTTAGGACTTACGGCTGCGATACTTGCACCCTGCCAATACGCCTCAATGCGTTTTTAGTGCACTTGCTCGTGGCTCGCCCGACTTTTAAAACACTGCTTGTAATTTCTGGTTAAGCATATTTAACCTTCAATCAAATTGATAGGAGCACTTTCGATCCCTATGACTTGTGATTCTTCACAAAGATAACGATTATTAAGTGCTAAACCATTTACTTATTGTTGTGATATGTTAAAGTTGTATTGTTACTATATATTTGAGGGTAATACAGTTCTATAAATAGTCTAAATCACATATTTCCTATATAACTGACCAAAATAACACTTTCATTTAATTGAAGGTTAAGCATGCTTAGCCGAATATTTAGAGGACCAAAATAAGAATTTATCAATAACTAAAGGACTAAAAGTGCAATTATCTGGTTACAGTTTTCCTAAATGGAAAGGTCAAATAACATGAATATATAGCTATATACCAAACCAACTAATAAACTGCCACAATCACGAATTATTGATCTCTTACTACTACTATAACAATGTTTTAGAAGAAAACAGTGTGAGCAAGGTGATTTTCTTGTGGTAAAGCAAGTTATATGCCTCAATGTGTAAGGCGGACCTTTTTTTCTTAATATCTTTTAGAAGTAAACAACTTTCAATGTAGTAACAGCAGAAACATGGGGGATTAAGAAACAGGGAAAAAGGAGAAAATAGTAGGCAGTAAGGAGCACTACCAGTGGATAA